GGTGGTGCCACAGCAGCGCGCTCACACCATCACGCGGGAGCGACTGGCAATCTTCAAGTGCTGTTGCGGTTTTCCCCTCAATCCCCCTCTATCTACTATGTGTGCTGCTTGTTCCCCTCCCCAGGGTGTCTGGCCCTCCTGCAAACGGCTCGGCAGCCAAGGATCGATGGTGCTGGTGCCGCAGCAGCGCGCACACACCATCACACGGGAGAGGCTGGCGACCCCAATTCCCATTCCCAATCCCCTTGGCCCCTCTCTCCTCTCTCCCCCCTCCTCAGGGTGTCTGGTCCTCCTGCAAACGGCTCAGCGGCCAAGAGAGCAGGCCCGACGGTGCTGGCGCCGCAGCAGCGCGCGCACACCATCACGAAGGAGCGACTGGCGATCGTTCAGTCCATGGATGGGTGGGCGGAGAGCACGCTTCTCCCGCTGCTGAAACCCGTTGAGGCCAGCTGGCAGCCGCAGGTGAGTTTGGTCGGTGAGGTGCGGTGAGGTGCGGTGAGGTGTGGTGAGGCGCAGTGAGGTGCAGTGAGGTCCTCACACGTCATACTTCTCCCTTCCACTTCCCTCCCCACCTCCCCCACATCCCGAGCAAGACTCTTTTCTGGACGAGTTGGCGACCTGCAGGCTAGAGCAGCAACACTCCCAGACGACTACCTGGTGTGCCAGACAGCAATACTTCCCTCATGCTCAACCCTAAATCCCTCATGCTCTTGCAGCAGGCTTACACCTGTGGCCCACCTTCCCCCTTCCCTCATGCTCTTGCAGCAGGCTTACACCTGTGGCCCACCTTCCCCCTTCCCTCATGCTCTTGCAGCAGGCTTACACCTGTGGCCCACCTTCCCCCTTCCCTCATGCTCTTGCAGCAGGCTTACACCTGTGGCCCACCTTCCCCCTTCCCTCATGCTCTTGCAGCAGGCTTACACCTGTGGCCCACCTTCCCCCTTCCCTCACCCCACCTCCCCCACAGGACTACCTCCCCCACCCCGAGGAGGAATCTTTCCTGGACGAACTAGCCGACCTGCAGGCCAGGGCAGCGACGCTCCCAGACGACTACCTGGTGTGCCTCGTGGGGGATATGATCACAGAAGAGGCCCTCCCCACCTACCAAACCATGCTGAATACCCTTGATGGGACCAAGGATGAGGCCGGAGTCAGCCCCAGCTTGTGGGCAATGTGGACGCAGTAACCGCGACTCATTTCCCCCTCCCTTCCTCTCCTCTTACCCTCCCCTTCCCCCCTCCCGCCCCACCACGACTCCTGCAGGATTACCTTCCCCAACCCGAAAAGGACTCTTTCTTGGACGAGCTAGCTGATCTCCAAGCCAGGGCAGCGACGCTCCCAGACGACTACCTGGTGTGCCTCGTGGGGGATATGATCACCGAGGAGGCCCTCCCCACCTACCAAACCATGCTCAACACTCTCGATGGGACCAAGGACGAGACCGGAGCCAGCCCGAGCCCCTGGGCGGTGTGGACGCGGAAATGGACGGCGGAGGAGAATCGGCACGGAGATCTGCTGAATCGGTATCTGTATCTGACCGGGCGGGTGGATATGCGCGCTGTTGAGAAGACGATCAACTACCTCATTGGCTCGGGGATGGTGAGTGTTGGGGATGGGGTGTGTGGGAATGGTGAGTGCTTAACATGGTGAGTGTGGGGTGAGGCGTTGGGTGAGTGTGGATATGCGCGCTGTGGAGAAGACGATTAACTACCTGATTGGCTCGGGGATGGTGAGTTACGAGTGAGGGCGAGGAAATGGGGTAGTGAGTGTTGATATGCAGAAGAGCAGCAAATCCGAAGGTTAGAAAACTCTCAAAAAACTAGAGGGCCGAAACTGAAAAAAAAAAAAAAAAGATTAGTACAACTCGAAAAAAAAAAAAAAAACCCTTCATGTAAAGCAGAACCTTACAAGCATATTTCGAGGTTTTGCTTTGATTGAAAAGTATTTCGAGTTTTACAGGTCTTTTCCAGGAAGAAAAGTCCAGTTCCGTTCTTCCAGTTGCTCTAAGTGTTTTCCAAACTTCGGATTTGCTGCTCTTCCGCTATGAGGGAAGCTTCCTATACACGTCCTTCCAGGAGCGAGCAACCTTCAACTCCTATTTCCCGTTTCCTACCACCTTGTGAATCAGTTTTGAGAATTCTCAAAAGTTATTCTCAAAAGAGAATTCTCAAGAGTGATTCTCAAAAGAGAATCCGCAAAAGTGATTCTCAAAAGAGAATTTGCAAAAGTGTTTCTCAAAAGAGAATTCTCAAAAGCGAGCAACCTTCAACTCCTATCTCCCATTTCCTACCACCTTGTGCGTTCACTCCCGCAACAGGACCCCAAGACTGAAAATAACCCCTATCTGGGGTTCGTCTATACATCCTTCCAGGAGCGGGCGACCTTCATTTCCCACGGCAACACAGTGTGCCACGCCAAGGAGTTTGGAGATGACCGGCTGGCGGTGATTTGCGGGATGATGGAAGTGGAGGATATGGAATTATGCTGCACACACCCTCTCCCTCCCTCACCCTGCCCTCCCTTACCCTACCCTCCCTCCCTCACTCCCACCAGGACCCCAAGACGGAGAACAACCCTTACCTAGGGTTCGTCTATACATCCTTCCAGGAGCGGGCGACCTTCATTTCCCACGGCAACACGGCGCGCCACGCGAAGGAGTTTGGCGACGACCGGCTGGCCGTGATCTGCGGGATGATAGCTGCTGATGAGAAGAGGCATGAGAAGGCGTACTGTGCGATCGTGTCTCGGCTGTATGAGCTGGATCCAAGTGGGGCGATGCTGGCATTCGAAGACATGATGAGGAAACAGGTATGTCATATGTGGGCTGGTAGCGGCCGATGAGAAGAGGCATGAGAAGGCATACTGTGCGATCGTGTCTCGGCTGTATGAGCTGGACCCGAGTGGGGCGATGCTTGCATTCGAAGACATGATGAGGAAGCAGGTGCATTGTTTAATGTCATGTTGAAATAAAGTCAACTGGAGGTTAAAGTAGAGCCAGATGTTGCAACTTTTGGCCGACACAGGCAAGCTCATAGGCGCTGATAAGAAGAGACGCACTGCTGCCATTCCCCTACTCTTCACCTTGTGAGTGAATATTGAACCATCCACTTTGACATAACATGTTGACTCGTACACTGCTGTTCTTAACTCTTGTTTTCTTCCCTCCAATGCGTGTCCCGGTCTCCCATTTACTCTGTGTTGTCCTCTTTGCAGATTGTCATGCCAGCTCACCTCATGTATGATGGGGAGAACCCAAAACTCTTTGACGATTTCTCTACTGTAGCACAGCGTACTGGAGTGTACACTGCTGGAGACTATGCGGATATAATGGAGCACCTTATAGCGGTGTGGGATGTGGAGAAGATGGAGGGACTGTCTCCGGAAGCGGCACGTGCGCAGGAGTTTGTCTGCAAGCTGCCGCCCAGGATCAGGAGGTTGGCGGAGCGGGCGGCGGACAAGGTGAAGAAGGGCGGCCCGCAGACTGGCAAGTTTAGCTGGGTTTTCAACAGGGAGGTAAAGCTTGTGTAACGAATTTCCATGAATACTCGTCTTTATGTACAGACTGCCTAGTGTCTTAAAATTACCTTTCAAAAAAAAAAAAACTCGTGAAGGATTTTTTTATCATCAGTATTCACTGATTGACATTCAATGCTAGGAACTCGTCAAAAAGTGTACGTTTTGGTGAACGAGCTATATCGAGTTGTCACGTATTAGGGCGTATCCCTGGGTGGTGGCAGGGCAACTGTAGCTGGCACTGTTGGTGGCATGCGCATTTTCCGGGCCCCTGTGTTTTTGGGAAAGTTGCCACCAACCTTGCCAGCTACAGTGGTCCGCCACCAGCCAGGGATACGCCCTTAGGGTCCGGGATTGAGGTTTTCACCGACAAATTTAATTGGCTTGGCATGTCGGTTCCCCGTTACAAACAGAAGCACCGAGTTTCGAGCAGCCCTAAACTTGAGTCAAACGTTCGATCTGTGACGAGATTGACAATCGACGGTTTTATCGTTTTTACGGGATGGCCTTTCTGCCCGACGGCCTAAACTTGAGAAATTAGCCGTTGAGAACCAAGCCTGCTTGTCACTAGATCTGGTTCGCGTTCCACACATGCAAGACATACCACAACCCAAGCAGTTCAATTTGTAGTTTTATTACTTGTTCAGTATTTTGGGGGCGAACAGATACCCTTTAACGTCGACTTTTCGAAACTCGTGGCACAAAGCATGTGCACCATCACTAAGGTTTGCACTCACAGGCAAGTGTGATCAGGCAGTCCATTCCCCCTTTTGGCGGTTCACCACCATTTCAAGTAAACTCCACTAACCGCACTCCACGGATTCATGGCTGCCGTGCTGAATCAGCCCTCTCTCCGCGCCGTACCAATTTGGCGTTTTACATTCCTTCTTCCAGACCAGGACACACGCCTTGATCCTGTAATAGCGTCTCGCCGTCATTTTGACCCAATGGAACCTTCCGACATTTCCAAATATGTGCTGCAGTTATAGCCACCCTCTTTTTTGGTCCCATTTCAACTTAGGTGTTGTAATATTCAGACTAGTTACTTCCCCGCCGTGCTTCATTGAAACTGTCGTTTGCTATTGAGCAGAGGGGCGATTATTCTCTTCGATGTATTCAAAATTCTTTCACAGGTGTTCGTAGCCGTTGGTACCTCGAGAAGGTACGCCGTAGTGTAAGAGCGACGCACGGCGGTCGACAATTTCGAGATGCTCACCAGCTTCCGGTTGGTGACGGACTGATAGGATGACGGACGGTTTAGGCGACTGATGGTTTGGCATGCCTGACGGAGTCCATCGCTGACAGAAATCGTCACTGATTGTTGAAGCCCATGTTAAAGCGGAGCAAGCGGCGCTTGTCCCTGAAACTCCACGATCCGACAGCGTTGCGCCATAGGCATTATTTATAAAAATTTCAAAGTTTCTTCAAGCATGGTCTACTAGGCCCTTATAGATAAAACAGTCTGCTAGTAGCAGCGTTGCACCAAGATGGCTCCAAGGCACCTCCGCTCACTCTCTCGCAGACTCTATCTTACTTTCCTCCTGCTCTCCGTCTTCTCCGCCGCGTCTTCCGCTGCTGAAGTCTTTGGAGAGCCTCCCGCAAACGCCCCCGTCCCGTCTCCTGACGACGAGATAATTCCGGATATCCCCGGTATAGACTACTCCGTTAATATCACGCTACCAGTCGTTTCATGCACATCAGGTGATCCCGTTGGACCCCCCATCTGTTTTCGCCAAGGCCTTTCGCCGCACCCGGTCCCGATCCCTTGTGGCGAAAAGCCGTCCCGAACGGCCGCGCCGCAAAGGTCGTCGCACACCGCGTCGCAAGCCACGCCGCTCGCCAGCGTGCGAGTCGCATCGAGCGGCGGTAACTCTAGTCGGCCTTTAGCGGGCTCCACACCGAACCTGACTCCCGCTACTGAGCTCTTCGATACATGCATCGGACAAGGTACGGTAATACATCGTTTCGTCTCAGCTTCCACAACCTCTCGTCGTGGTGCGAGAATTCATGATGAGCGTTTCGGTCTGCACTGCCTGTCGCGTCTCTCACGTTACTCTCGCCTCGCTCGCCTCTGCCATTTTATCGATTGTGCAATCGCGTCGCACGATATTTTAGCTGGCTCATAAATCGCCTCTCTCATTCTACTCTCGCCCCCGCCCGTGCCGTTTACTGGAGTCAGGCGTCATTTTGTAACCCGACTGTCGAATCTGCGATTGCGCATTCGCATTCGCACGTCCGCATTGCACGTCGTGTCATGTCCCTGTCTCCTACCCGCTCTCACCCCCTCCATCCACCCTCTCCCCTTTCCAAGCTCGCATGAGTGATTTCGAACCCGCAGCAGCCGAACAGATAGACTTACTCCCCCCATGTTCCACTTCTTGGGGAGCATGCGTTTCAGAATTCCACCCCTTCTCCCCACCCCCCCATCCCCTCCCCCCCCCCCCCCCCCCCACCCTCCTTTTTCCTCCCGCTCCTTACCTTCTCCACACCCTCCGCCAAAAATTTCCCCACAATTTTCCAAGCCTTCCCCCACACTCCCCCCTCTCCCCAGGCCCCGCGTCAGTGACTCTGAACCCGCGGTGGCGGGACAAGTGGAAAGGCTGGCACGTCCCTCTGTTGGAATGCCCGTCCCCCTCTTCCCGTAACTTCTCCCCACTCTCTCCCCACCATCCCCCCACACTCCCCCCAGGCCCCGCATCAGTGACTCTGAACCCACGGTGGCGGAACAAGTGGCAAGGCTGGGGCACCTCCCTCTGCTGGTAAGCCGCTCCCCACTTCCCCAAAAGCCCCACTTCCCCTCCTCCCCTCTTCCGCCTTCCGTAATTCCCCACCTTTCCTCTAACCCCCCACTCCTTTGTTAACAAACCTGCTGCTTTTCTCCTCTTCGCAGGTAATCCGTCAGTGCTCCATTCTCGCTCCTCAACCCCAACAATTTCTTTTCACTGTTCAATGACCATAGCACAGACCCTCACTTTTGGCATAACGCGCATCATTATTTTTCAACAACTAGACCACGAATCTCACTTTTCAACAGTATGGCACTAAACTCCCATCCACCCTCCCCGTCCCATCCCATGATCTCCCGTCCCCCCCCCCCCCCAGGCTAGGAAACTTCGTGGGAGGCTTCCCAGACAACCATTTCAACCCTTTAATGGACCTCCTATTCTCCCCCTCGGGTCTAAACCTCAACATAGTCCGTTACAACATAGGAGGCGGCCATAGTGCCACTAACAGCCCCCAGTTTCAGTCCGACAATCTTAAATGGCGGGGTATGCCTGGCTTCAAGGCCACGGAAAATTCGGCCTATAACTGGGCAGCGGACGACAGGCAGCGGAAAGTTTTGTTCGCTGCCCGGGCACGGGGGGCAGACACGTTTGAAGCGTTTTCCAACAGCCCCCCGTGGTGGATGACGGTTTCTGGGGATGTTTCCGGTGCAGCCACATACGGGCAGGGTAATTTGAAGGTGGAATATGAGACGGCATTTGCCGAGTTTCTTACTGACGTAGTGCAGAAATTTGCAACAGACAGACGCTGGGGCAAGGGATTAGTGTTCGATACTCTGGAGCCTTTTAACGAGCCACTGGAGGGGTGGTGGAAGAAGGGGGGAGGGCAGGAGGGGTGCAACATTGGTGTAGCGCAGATGAAGCGGGTCCTACAGAAGACTCAGGCTGCGCTGCAAAGGAAGAAGCTTAAAACGAAGCTTGCTTCTGTGGATAGCTTTGTCGAGAGGACTCCGGAAAACGTCGCGAGTTTGAACGGGTTTATCTACCGTTACAACGTGCACGGTTACATGAACCTGGCGAAAAATGGGGCGGATCCGGTCGAGTGGACGAGGCAAAACTTTCGTGACATGAAATTGACGGCGAAGTCTGCGACAAAACCGGTTTGGATTTCGGAATGGGGGCCTTTGGATCGGGATGGGGATGACATGGGTGTAGCACTGTACATGGCAAGATCTATTATTGCTTCCATAAACATTCTGGAAGCTTCTGGGTGGGTGTATTGGCAAGCGATGGACCCATCTTCGACTTGGGGGATGATTAATATCGATTGGTCGAAGACTCCGGACGCGTCTACAGTGTACACTCCGCCTACAGTCTCCAAAAAGTTTTGGATATTGAAGCATTTTACAAGCCTTGCTCCCAAAGGCAGCCGGAAGCTTGTCCTCAGCAAGGGGAGGTGTAATTTCGGGATTGCGGCTTTCTACACCCCGAAGAAGAGGATGATCAGCGTGTTTGTTGTGAACCAAAAGGCGACACCAAGGAAGGTAAGTGTTGCGATTAGTTGGTGGTTTCAGAAGAATGTTGGTGGCAAGTCGGAGGTGCTATCCTGGAGAACATCTTATTCCGAAGACTTTGCGCAAGTTGACTATGGAGGTCTGCCAATACGCTTTGAGATGCCGGGCAGGTCCTTCGTCTCACTTGCAGTTACGCATGTCAGGCCTTTCTTGAAGATTGATACACCGTGGTAGATATCATATTATTATATTCTAGAGTATTTGTATGATATGGCGGTTATTCATCTCTATGTAGACCCCAAGGCGTGTCCCTTGGAGGTCATTTTCTAGTTCGCTCATTCTGTTGGTTGATCACTTTCTTCATTGAGCCGTATTTAGGCAAATGTTTCGACACTGCTGCATATTGAAGGCATTGATAGAGAACACCAATGTTGAGGTCAACACCAAGTGAAGATCGAAATGAAGGGAAGATGTATATGTATGAAACTGGCACTACCAATAAAGCTTGAGAGATGCTCTGGATTGTGCTTGAGAATGGTAGCGAAGCATGTAATGGGAGATTCTCAGTTGTGTGTGCTCTAAACGAAAGCTTCAAGTCATGAATCCCCGAACACACGAAGCTCCGACCTGGTCATAGGCGGGGCACGACACGTCAGCCATCACTGTACGAGCGTCAGCATCTCCCCCACACTGCGATGGCGCATGTACAGTACACGGGTGTGTGTCAGGTGTGTGTGGATGAGTTTTCACCCTTCGCTAGGTTTTGCCTGGTCCCTGTCACCGATAGCGTTCTCCAGTTCCACGCATACGAAATTCAAAATTCGTGTTTCAGAGGGTTGCCTGTACTTGGTGTATTGCTTTGTACATTTGTGAAAACCTCTAAAAACCTTCACACACCCGCACATACCAGACGGATGACACACAAGAGTCGTCGCCTGTGCACACTAGAAATGCTGATGGAAGTCGTTAACCCATAACACGTGTCGCTTATGCTTTATAGGTTGCTGCGATGCCGCTTCACGCCTTAGCGCATCACTCTTGCGCTTCGTGTGACTGTCAGGCGAGTGTGTGAGGCCAGGAATTTCTTGCTTTTATTTCTCGTTCTGCCAAATCATCGTCCCGCACGTTGCCAGACTGTTTCCTGCTCGGTTTCCTTTTCCGGTAGCCATGGTTGCTGCTTGCTCGCTGTAGCTTCCATTCGCTGCTGCCTCAGCTCCAAACACAAACGTTCTTTCCTTAGTTCCTCTTCCTTTGCCTGCACAAGTATTCGTGGTGGGTCAACCCTCGCAGTGATACGTTCGGCAGTGTCACGTTCGGAAGTCACGCTCGGCAGTGTCACGTTCGGAAGTCACGCCCGGCAGTGTCACGTTCGGCAGCGGCGGTGTCACGTTCATCAGTGTCACTTTCGTCAGTGTCACGTAATCTAGCGGCCACATCACGTTCGACAGCATCACGCTCGACAATATCACCCTGGAATAATAACACTGCAGCACGACTGCCTGGAGTAGAGTAGGCTGGTAGCTCAAAGGACTTAGCTTTGCAACCATGAAAGCGGACTCCGTCATATGTCGTCCATGTCGGTCCGTCACCGTCACCGTCGCCCTCCGGCTCCTCGCCTTAACCAGCATCTTCGTTCTGTCAGTCACCGCCTTCTGTTTACTCTCCTCCCAACCTCCTAATTCTACTGTAACAACGTTCTGTTTAAACTCCCTGATTCCAGTCAGCCGAAAGCTGAGAACAATCATAGTCTCGGTCAGCCGAAACATCTCTCAGTCACTGTTCGACTCAGCCGGTTTGGACGGCCGTAGCCTTCGGCTTCCTTCCTCAGATGATCAATCAGGTCAACAAGGTCGATTAGGTGCTCAAGAAATAAGCGGCGGGGAAGAAAGACTAGACGGCAAGCCGTTCCTCCATGACGGAGAGGGACAGAATAAGCAGCCGGATCCGTCCAAATTTCCTCACTGGCGGCCGTGGCACTGTGTCAGGCACAAGCCCTTCGTTACTGTCACACGCAGGGGTTGCTCCTTGGCTGGTGGCTTGGACAGCGGCAACTGTAGCAGCAGTATCAGAGGCAGCAGCAACAGCAGCATTGACAGTCAAAGCAGCAGTGACAGTCAAAGCAGCACAGGCAGCAGTAGCAGCAGTGTGGGCAACAGTCATAGCAGCAGTTTCCCCAGCATGAAAAGTTTTCCCATCAGCAGCACCAGTGTCCCTAGCAGCAGCAGTAGCAGCAGCAGCAGCATTGCTAGCAGCAGCATGGCTAGCAGCAATATTGTCTCGGATATAGACATGCCTCTGGTTCACCTGCTGCTGCTGCACGCCGCTACAGTGTACAGTGAAGACACCGCGTCGCTGCACACGTGGAACTGCTCCCAGTGCGTGCTGCCCGAGATGAGGGGATTCCATCTGTTTCAGATCATTGTTGAGCCGACTGCTCGCCTGCAGGTGAGGGTCAGCTTCCCAGGTGGCGTAGGGAGAAAGTACCTTGGCTTTAAACCCAGTGCGTGCTGCCCGAGATGAGGAGCTTCCATCTGTTCCAGATCATAGTCGAGCCGACTGCTCGCCTGCAGGTGAGGGTCGGCTTCCCAGGTGGGCCTCCCTTGCTCCTCTTCTCTCCGTGATAGGATTGCTGATTTCGAGGCCCTCCCCCCCTCCCCTCTTGCGTTACCCCCTGTGACCCCATCTCCCTGTCTGCTCCTGTCTCCACCTGCCACAACAGGCCTATGTGGGGTGGGACCCCCCATCGCGTCTCATCATAGTCGCATTCAGAGGCACCTGCACTTCCTCTCTCCGCAACTGGATCGCCGATCTCGAGGCCCTCCCCCGCTCGCTCTCTCAGTTACCCTGGTCTATGTTTGCCCCCACTCTCCCTCGTCCCCGTCTGCTCCTTTCCTGTCCCCCGGTCAGGCCTATGTCAGGTGGGACCCCCCCTCCAGACTCATCATTGTTGCATTCAGGGGCACCTGCACCTCGTCTCTGCGCAACTGGATCGCCGATCTCGAGGCCCTCCCCCGCTCGCTCTCAGTTACCCCGTTTCGGACCCTCTTGTGTCCCTACTTTCCCGCCAACAGGCCTATGTAGGTTGGGACCCACCTTCTCGACTGATCGTGGTCGCATTCAGAGGCACCTGCACCTCGTCTCTCCGCAACTGGATCGCTGATCTTGAGGCCCTCCCGCGCTCCCTCTCCTACCCGGGTCTGCGCCACGCCCGTGTGCACCGCGGCTTCTACTCCGCTTACCACTTCACTCGTCTGCGCCCGGCCGTGGTGCACGCCGTGCTGTTTCTGATGACGATCCTGCCGGGATCCTTTCGAGTGGCCTTCACAGGGCACTCCCTTGGGGGTGCTTTGGCTACTCTCAGTGCTCTCGACCTGCAGGTATGTGGGTGGGAAGGATTGTGTCTGTGAGGGTTTGTTGTGTCTGTGAGGGTTTGTTGTGTCTGAAGCTCCCTTTTCCTACCCCAGTCTGCGCCACGCCCGTGTGCACCGCGGCTTCTACTCCGCTTACCACTTCACTCGTCTGCGTCCTGCTGTGGTGCACGCTGTGCTGTTTCTGATGACGATCCTACCGGGAAGCTTCAGTGTGGCCTTGACAGGGCAATCTCTGGGAGCTGCCCTTGCTACTCTCAGCGCTCTCGACCTGCAGGTGGGTGGCGTTAAGGGAGGAGAGGTGTCTCTGTGTTTCTCTGTGTGTGTCTCTGCGTATCTCGAATGGTCCTTACTATAGGCGCTGCTATACAACGGGAGGGCAATACGGTAGGTACAGCGTCCACAAGCACTAACCACCGCACTTACCTTTGGCTCGCCTCAAGTGGGCGACCTTGTGATTTGCTGCAATCTGTCTATCTCTTTTCACTGCTTCCCATCACCCACCACCTGGTATCCTACAACCTCCTCCCATCACCCACCATTCGAGTCGTCACCTTTGGCTCGCCTCGAGTGGGCGACCTTGTGATTTGCTGCAATCTGTCTATCTCTTTTCACTGCTTCCCATCACCCACCACCTGGTATCCTACAACTTCCTCCCATCACCCGCCATTCGAGTCGTCACCTTTGGCTTGCCTCGAGTGGGCAAACATGTTCTTGTCAACAAACCCCTCTTCTCCCCCTTTTTCCAACCCCTCCCCCTCCCGCAAACCCCTCATCCTTCGCCACTTATTTCACCCGCTAACTTGTATCTTCAGGTGTCCTACGACCTCCCATCACCCGCCATTCGAGTCGTCACCTTTGGCTCGCCTCGAGTGGGCAACCCTATGACTTGCGGCAAACCCTCTCATTTTACCCGCCTTTCTCCGCATGCACCTCCTACCCTTGCATACTCCCATCCCCAGGTATCCTACGACCTCCCATCACCCGTCATTCAAGTCGTCACCTTTGGCTCGCCTCGGGTGGGCAACGCTGCTTTTGCGGCCTACTTCCGGCAGAAGGTTCCTAAAAGCACCCGTGTGACCAACTGGAAGGATCTTGTGCCGCACTTGCCGCCCGCAACCATCGGTTATCATCATGTGGCCACCGAGGTGAGATTTTATTTATTTCTTTTTTAGTTTTTTTTTTCAAGGCTTTTTAGAAATACACTTGCTGCCCGCAACCATTGGTTACCACCACGTGGCCACTGAGTTGATTTCCCTCTCCAAATTTTATTATCTAGGTATCCAGTAATTTACTTGCTGCCATCAACTATTGGCTACCACCATGTGCCCACTGAGGTGAGGGGGTTGAATCAATAATGTGCTATATAATAATAGAACTAGGCATATAAAAGCATTCTTACGACCTGCATCCATGGGTTACCACCCCGTGGCCACTGAGGTGAGAGAGGGTGAGTCGCGAAGCAAGTTGTGCGAGAGGTGAGTTTAATTAATCCCATACTCTGTGCACAATTTTGTGTTAACACTTGTACTTTAAAGGATACGGCGGGAAATCCGCCGTTTTCTTTTTGAATTTGTTAAAATTTAACGGAATATTTCGCACCGCTTTGATGGTATAGGAAGTGGCACCCAGTTTCAGTGAAAATGGCTGGTGGTCATTTGCTATCTATCTAGAGAAGATGTGCATCTTCACGACGGAGAATGCCGAAAAGTTTTCAGCAAGTGAGTTCGTGATGCTGCAACTCGTGTTACCCACTCTCGAATTGATCGCACACATTGCGAGCATCACGAACTCACTTGCTGAATACTTTTCGCCATTCTCCGTCGTGAAGATGTACGTCTTCTCCAGATAGAGCGCAAAAGACCGCCAGTCTTTTTCACCGAAACTGGGTGCCACTTTCTGTACCATCGAAACAATGAATTTAAGGTTGAGCTCTCCTTCAGTGCAGCTCATCAAGTTCAGCTTCACCAAGCATGCAGAAGCGTTCTGCTTTTGTCTCATTTGTCCTTCTACCATGTACTCTCTCCCCCCCTTCCCACTGCAGGCGTGGATAATCCCTGACTCTGTGCACAACGTCTCCTTCAGTCCATCGAGTTCAGCTTTACCAACTCAGAAGGGGCGTTCTGGCTCGGTTTCTTTACCAACTCAGAAGGGGCGTTCTGGCTCGGTTTCTTTACCAACTCAGAAGGGGCGTTCTGGCTCGGTTTCTTTACCAACTCAGAAGGGGCGTTCTGGCTCGGTTTCTTTACCGCACCTGCTGAGGCAACGCCGGTCGTTGCCCCGGCGGGTGTTGCATCGTCGATCGTTACAACGAGGACCGTTACAACAGCAGCTGTTGCAGGAGCAAACGCTCTTGATTGACGAAAGAGACAGCCACACCAGTCATCAAGGTGGGTTTTAACATGCGCATTATATGCCTGCTCCATCGCACACATGTCTGCCCCGTCGCACACACGCTCACACCCTCTTTCTCTGCTGTTTTCACCCCACTTCCCACGTGGCATGCAGGTGATCTGACATGAAACATACACCAGTGTGACAAGAGGCGTACGCACATGTACAGTACAGTACGCACACTCACACGTCTCCCTGTGCTCTTGTTTTCACCCACCACTTTTCATGTGCCACGCAGGTAATCTGACGTGGCACGTGCACCAGTGTGACGAGACAGGCGAAGACCCTTGCTGCAGCAGGTGGGTGGTATTCTTTGCCTTTACCTCATCACCTGTATCTATCAGTGCATGAGTGGAAAATGGGCAGCAGGTAGATGGGCTGGGTTATCTCAAAACTCAAAACATGCAAATGTCCCTGCTTGCTGCAAGTGGGGTTGTGCCCTGTTCCCCTACCCCCTATCATGTTACTCGTACCTCCTGCCGTGTTACCATACATGAGAGGAAAAGAGGTGTTTTTGTATTGGAGCTTCTGGCAAAACACCAATGTCGACCAGGATCTGAAAGGCAGCTAAGGTGCACGCATAAAAAATTCCACAGCGTACAAACCCCTCAGCATGCACCTTAAAACGCTGAGGGGTTTGTACGCTGTGGAGATTTTTTTACGCTTGCACCTCAGCTGCCTTTCGAATTCTGGTCGACATTGGTGTTCTGCTAGAAGCTCGAATATTGTTAGTGTTGGTTGTAGTAGTGGTGAGTTGCGCGAGGAACGAGGAGGAGGACGAGGGCAGGAGGGGAACCTTGGAGAGGAGCCATGCGTTTGTTGATCCTGCATTTTCGAACCTTGGTGCATTTGTCCATCTGATTGTGTGTGCATGGTGTTTTCTCAGTCTCGCCCCTCCGCTGCTTGTTGATCCTGCATTTTCAATGTTTTCATTGTGCATGAACTAACCTGTGCAGTTTTCTTTACCTCCATTATACCCTCATGGTCCCCCCATATCTCCCTTGTTGTATGAAGAAGTGTTTTGGGACGTCTCAAAACACTTCTTCGTACTCGTGGTTTTCTTTACCTCCGTTATACCCTTATGGTCCCCCCATATCTCCCTTCTTGACTTTTGAGTCGACTTAAAAGGCAGTTTTCTTTACCTCATGGTGCCCCCATATCTCCCTTCGTTGTTAACTACCCTCGTCTGCTCCTGGGAGTGTTTTGAGACGTCTCAAAACACTTCTGTTCACCTGTGCAGTTTTCTTTACCTCCGTTATACCCTCATGGTCCGCCCATATCTCCCTTCTTGTATGAAGAAGTGTTTTGAGACGTCTCAAAACACTTCTTCATACACGTGGTTTTCTTTACCTCTGTTATACCCTCATGGTCCCCCCATATCTCCCTTTCTATATCAACTACCCTCGTCTGCTCCCTGGAGTAAACCCCTGCTTTCAATCCCGTTTCCTCTCCCCCCTCTCTCTCCCACTTCAATCATCTCCCCACAGGCCAGGTCTGTAGAGGGCGATAGCATAGCCAACCACCTGGAGTATCTGAGTGTAGTGCCTGGGGAGTGCCTGGGGGTGCCGTCCCATGATACAGCCCCTCACTCAGTTCCTTTTCCTTCCCCGCCTCTTCAATTGTCTCTCCACCTGCCAGGTCTGTAGTGGCCGATAGCATAGCCAACCCACTTGGAGTATCTGAGTGTGTCGTCACATGCTCTGGACTTAACTTTGAATCCTATCCACCCCTCCTTCCTCCCTTTCAAAACCCCTTCCCTCCTCTCATCTCTCCACCTGGCAGGTCTGTGGTGGGCGACAGTATAGCCAACCACTTGGAGTACCTGGGGGTGCCGTTGCATTCAGGTCACAGTTCATCAGACACCTGAGACACCTGTTCATTATTCTCCCACTTCTCCCCTCCCCTACCCACTTGAATCATCTCCCTACATACCAGGTCTGTGGTTGGCGACAGCATAGCCAACCACCTGGAGTTCCTGGGAGTGTCGTCAGCCTCCTCCCCCACGCCTCGTTACTCAACCCTTTTTCCTTTCCCCAATCAACTCCTTACATACCAGGTCTGTAGTGGGCGACAGCATAGCCAACCACTTGGAGTACCTGGGAGTGCCGTTACATTCAGGGCACAGTTCATCAGACTCCTGAGGCACCTGGGAATACCCCTGGAATACCATGGGAAGATTGGAATACCAGGAAGTACCTGAGGTTCATCCGACAAGACAAAACTGTGGACCGCAGTACCATCACCAGAAGCAGCACAATCGTTAGCACCATCAGCACCATCAGCACCATCAGCACCATCAGCACCATCAGCAGCATCAGCACCATCAGCAGCATCAGCACCATCAGCAGCATCACCAGCATCAGCAGCATCAGCAGCATCAGCAGCATCAGCACCATCACCACCATCACCACCATCAGCAGCAGGATCAGTACCATCAGCAGCAGCATCAGTACCATCAGCAGCAGCATCAGTACCATCAGCAGCAGCATCAGTACCATCAGCAGCAGCATCAGGACCATCAGCAGCAGCATCAGGACCATCAGCAGCAGCATCAGTACCATCAGCAGCAGCATCAGTACCATCAGCAGCAGCATCAGTACCATCAGCAGCAGCATCAGTACCCATCAGCAGCAGCATCGGTACCATCAGCAGCAGCATCAGTACCATCAGCAGCAGCATCAGAATTATCAGCGGCACCATCTGCTACCTTGTATGCACATCATTGGCATGCGTGTGATTGGTCAGGCTCAGGACCCCCCCCCTGTGTATAGCTGCTCTCTGTATTCCTTTATTTTTCTGGTCGACTTAAAACTCACCTTTTGTGTATAGCTGCTCTTTACAATCACCTCCGGTGTAGCTCCTGTAATTCATGCATTCATTTGAACCTCCTCCTGTGCTGTGCAAAGCTACTGTACTCTAGGTGGATTCATGCTCTATCCATCCACCAGCCAGTGCCAAATGCATTCAGCTTACTACCATAATGGTGGTACCATACGGTACTTCTTTTGTTACCGTGTCGTGTATGCATCTTCACATGAAGCCCAGCCCACCCATTGAATACAAATTGTTGGTAGATCTCATCTCAACCTCTATCCAACACATTGAGCTAACAGACTCCTTCCATTCATAGTGTTGATTCGTCTGTCTGAGACTCTTTCCCAGGACCTTAGCTGGTGCATCTTCCAGTGGGTGGCTTGCCTACCGTACCGCTGACTATATCTACAGTACATTAGGTTCTATACTTGAACCACCATGAAGCCAGCGTCAGCATATACATAAACCAATAGCGAGGAAGGTGAAAGGGGAAGCATAGGTCTACAAATTCATATGCAAGCTACAGTAAGGTTGGAGTTAGGGTACAATCCGCTGTGGACCATGTTCCAATCGATGTGTCCGAATTGATTGTGACGCGTACGTACAGCATATGCTGCCAGGTGTCAGAATGCCGGGCCGCTCGTGGTTATCGCCAAATGTATTTATCATTGGGTGACGTGAAACACGGAGCAGTCGCCAGCTAATTGCAACACATTCCATCAGTCGCACGCGGTGCCAAATGTCAACTCATGCAGCATGTATCTAGACCACATCTCGAAAAACCCACTATCCCCATCAACGCGTACACTGCGTCGTGATTGGTCGAGACGACACACCCGGAATTATTGACAGGGACGCGCACGTCCCCGCCAGCGCGCCTTCCCCCAGTTCCAATGCTCCTTCCCCACAACTCCTCCACCTCCCAACACCTTACGGGATCATCTTCGTGCACCATCCTTCCTGTTCCAATCTGTTCATTTCTCTCTGCTCCCGCTCCCTTCAGATCTAGATCTAGAAACTCTCTATCTGCCAGCATGGCTCGTAAGCGTAAGGGGCAGGCTCTTAACGACTGCCCCAAGGATCTTAACGACATTCCTTACATCCGCTGGATGAACCAGCAGATCGCCAACGGGCGCCATCCGAGGGGATTATCCGCGCCGCCCGTGCTTGACGGCCAGGGATCCAGTGCACAGTCGCCCAGTGCGGCCCCGTCACGTGTGCGCCGTCAGCCTGCAAGGACGGCGGCAACACACCGGCATGTCGTGGAGCAAGATGCTGACGAGTACGATGATATTGACCACGAACAAGGCCTCGACACCGACGACGACGAGGAGGAACCGGAAGACCTTGGGATGTCGCCCAGCGACGACGACGACGAAGATGAGGACGCCGAGGACGACGCGGAGGAGGAAGCGCAACCTGTTGCTCAGCCGTCGAAACGGAGCGCCGCACGCGCATCTGGGGCTGACAAAGGCAAAGGCAAGGCGGCGCCACCACCGCCACGCCAGGAGCCACGGAAGAAGCGGTCGGCTGCACCAGTCGAGAGGGGCTTATGGTCGGACAAGGAGAGCACCATATTCGCCGCGACGAAGTGGTTCATGAAAGAGGGGCTCGAGTCTCTCAAGGGGAAGCAGGGGACGCAATACTGGGTCCGACTACTCGCGCACATCAAGGAGTCGAACCCTGAATGGTGCAGGGGTGTCAACGCGTTGCAGAAGCAGTGGCGTAACTTGACGCTCCTTTGGCGGAAGTACAAGCGTGGCGACGGGGGGTCAGGCAACGACTCGGTGGAGAAACCACCGTGGTATCCGTACCTGGAGCTGCACAACCAGGACACCGCCGCAGCCGCACCGCATGCGGTGGACGGCGGCGGCGCCACGGACGTCAACGTGCCGGCCGGCATGGAGGTTCCAAGTTCGTCTCAGCCAGGCACGTCAACACCAACCTTTACAGGTGAGTCGTGCTTCTATTACCTCTAGCTTGATATGCGTTTATCTTATCGTAGTTTGAATACGAAGAAGTCGTTTATATGATTTGCTAATATGCAGGTTACATCAAACAACGGTAGTCGGACTAATGGATTCTACTATTTTCCCCGCTCCTCTATCACAGCTCCGCCGCCGCCGACCACCGCAACACCCAGGCGCGCCCGGGTGCATGAGACGGCTACCATGCAAGCTGCCATGCTGGTCTCCGCGACCATCAAGGATTGTCACGGTGACGCGATGACGCGCATTGAGAGCCTCGTCCGTGAATGGATGGCGCAGGACATGCGCCTTGCCCGCAAGCGCATGACTGGATCGGCGCCCCCGGACGTGCACCGTGCGCCGCCGGATTTCAGCCCTCCTCCACCACGCGGGGAGTCCGCACCACCTCCCAAAGCCGCTCAGCAGGGCGACGATGTTTGCGACGTCAACACCGTCACTCCGGGTGGTGAGGATGTGGAGATATGGGTGCGCGGCGCCGATGATTAGCGTAAGATCCTGTAGGGCCTCACCCAGTCTTTTCCGCCTCTCTCTCAGAGCCTGTTGTGTTGGGGGAACACAGGGTTCCCACTTGTGTGTCGCAATGGCACCCTGTGTCCACCAAGGGTCGCGGTTGCGGGGCAGATTGAACCAGGCCATGTTCTTGCGCCACGTCTGCCATCTCTTCACACATGTGGTGCAGGATCACACAACACGCGGCTCCTGCGAGAATGCGCCACAACCTGCAGTCGTTGCGCCCGCCGAAGATGCGCCATCTCCCTTTTGAAGGCGCCGATGCACCTTTCCACCGCCATGCGTGTGGCGCTCTAGCAGTAGTTGAAACATTGGGCCCAATCGTCCATTAGGTCCTCTCCGCGCGGAGCATGCAGAGGGGGTTAGGCAGTATTCTCTTAGCGGGTAGGCCGCATCCCCAACAATCTGGTATGAGGCTATGTCCCGGTTGTGTAACCTCTCAAGTAGTGCAGACTCTTTGAAAACCCGCATGTCGTGCGCGCTGCCGGGATAGCTGATGAGGTAATCCCATGTCCTGCCTCGTGCATCACACGTGATTTGGAGCTGAACGGCGTAGGCCGACTTTCTTGTCCAGTACTCCGCCCTGTACCCTTCCATCCCTTTAATGTGGATGTGAGTCCCGTCCACAGCCCCCACCACTGCAGGTACACCTTTGATGGCAGCAAATTCACGCGCCATCTCGGGAAGTTCACCGCGTGTGGGAAAGCGCACCCAGGCGGCCTTGAAGACTGAGGGGAACTCGGTGAGGAAGACGTCGACAAGCTTGTGGCAGAGTGTCTTGGAGACACCGAACAGGTACGACATGTCGACGTAGGATATCCCACTCGCCAAGTACTTGTTAGAGTAGGTTGATTCACTATCGAGAAAGTTTGGGTACAAGGATGAGAACCCTAAGGGGTTGTACCCTACATTAGCTACCCCACTACAGCCTAACCAGATATAACATGCATATAATTGACACAGCCCCATAGGCAAAGTGGGGGAGAACAAGGGGTCACAAGACCAGTCAAGAGAAGCAAACCAAGCTCAGGGTGGATCACAACGTCACCACACACACTGAGCACAAGCAAAGAGCCACAAGACCAGTTCACATGCAGAGATATATATGAAACAACGGCAGCACAGTGATCTCTACCTAGCAGAGCAAGCATGCAGGTATATATATATATGTATATATATATGTATATATATATGTATATATATGTATATATATGTATATATAAGTATAGATCACAGTACAGGCAAAGTCTACAGCAAGTGAGGAAACGTGGGCACAAGGCCTAACAAAGTACAAAAACGCTGATGATCGCCAGACGGAAGTGCCTTGGTGAATATATCAGCAGTGTTGGCGCGAATGGCCACGTAAGCAAGACGAATCTGACCACGTTGCTGCAACTCTCGAGCAAGGAAGTAACGCAGAGCGATGTGCTTCGTTCTGTGCTCCACTCTGTGCTCCTGACACAAGGTAATGGCGGCCTTGTTGTCGACGAACAGCACTGGAGGAGAACGAGGCCGCTCTCCCAAGTCGGTCAGCAGGTAGGTGAGCCAGCGTAGCTCCTGTGCAGCCATGGCTGTGGCGTAGATCTCAGCCTCACAACTGAAGCCGAGAACTGAAGACGAGCGTGTAGACCGCTAGGAAACTGAACCAGAGCCAAGGCTGAAGGTGTAACCCTATGACGACCGCTGCGTAGCTAGGTCGTCAACCCAAGAAGCGTCCGAGTGCCCAGTGAGGACAACTGGGCTCCGCCCTCCAAGCACGAGCCCCATGCCCGATGTACTGCACAAGTAGCGCAGTACCCTCTTAGCAGCATCCATGTGCACCTTTCGGT